CCCTTCCCCCATGGGTTTCTGTTAAGTTTCTCAGGATCCACATAAGAGTGAAAACATATGGTATCTGTCTTTCTGTGTATGGCTTATTTCACTTAGCATCACACTCTCCAATTCCATCCATGCTGCTACAAAGGGCCATATTTCATTCTTTCTCATTGCCACATAGTACTCCATTGTGTATATAAACCACAGTTTCTTTATCCATTCATCAGTTGATGGACATTTAGGCTCTTTCCATAATTTGGCTATTGTTGAGAATGCTGCTATAAACCTTGGGGTACAAGTGCCCTTATACATCAGTACTCCTGTATCCCTTGGGTAAATACCTAGCAGTGCTATTGCTGGGTCATAGGGTAGGTCTATTTTTAATTTTTTGAGGAACATCCACACTGTTTTCCAGAGTGGCTGCACCAATTTGCAAGATCATGACCTCAGCTGAAGTCACTTAGCTGACTGAGCCACCAGGTGCCCCAAGTTACTTCTGTTTCAACAAATGTGTGGGTTTTCCATACCAAGCAATTCTGGCCCTAACTGTTGGGGTTGGTGCAGACTGGGCAGGTTAGGGGCTGGGCTGCCCAGCACAGCCCCTATTGCCTTCCCTTCAGGTCCAGGTTGTCACCTGTGCTTCTCACCAGCTGGCCATGAACCAAGGGTTCCCACAATCCCAGCCAAGGGTTGGATACTTTGCTAGAGTGGCTCACAGAACTCAAGAAAACATTTTGCTTACTAGATTACTGGATTATTATAAAAGGATACAACTCAGGGACAGCCAGATGGAAGAGATTCATGGGGCAAGGTGCAGGGGAAAGGTGGCAGAGCTTCTATATCCCCCTTGGGGCACACCACCCTCCCAGCACCTCCATGTATTCAGCTGCCAGGAAGCTCTCCATACTCCTCCAGTTAGGGTTTTTTTGTTCGTTTGTTTGTTTTTAATTTTTTTTTAATGTTTATTTATTTTTGAGAGAGGGTGTCAGAGTGTAAGTGGGTGAGGGGCAGGGAGAGAAGAAGACACACAATCTGAAACAGGTTCCAGCCTCTGAGCTGTCAGCACAGAATCCAACTTGGGGCTCGGACCCAGGAACTGTGAGATCATGACCTGAGCCAAAGTCAGGTGCTTAACCAACTGAACCACCTGGGCGCCCCCAGAGCTTTTAGTTTTAAAATCATGATGACTATTGGATTTTATCAGAGGCATTTTTTTTTATCAGATACCAAATATATATCCTTTATTGTCTCACAATATCTCAGTGCTCAATAAATGGTAACTCTTACATGGCTATAATCACCACAGTATCTCTTATGGGAAGTAACAGGAGCTTAACAACTATTCATTGGCAATCGTAAGGCTGAGGGAGACTATGTAACACAATAAAAATGAGAACCTGAACCCCAGGGACAAAATTAGAGCCAGGAAATAACCATCTATCGTTTTAAGAGGATATCTAACCCACCAGAGCAAGTGGCTTTGAAAAGCAAGGACAGAACCCCGGGCATGCAGGCACATGTATCATGGCTGCTGTCTAATAAGCGCAACAGGAATTTACTGGTACAGGGTCATCAACTTTGTGGGGGACTGGGGGTGAGGAAGCCCGTGAGCCCTGCAGAGCTGTGGGCTAGTGACCAGCCCCCACACATGACCTTTTCTTTTCTGGCTCACTCTTCCCTGAGAAGAAATTATAGAAAGTACAGCTGCAGACAAAACCTAGTGCTGGCCAGAGCTGCAGCCAGGTGAGGCGACCAAGGCGAGATGACCAAGGCGAGGTAACCAAGGTGAGGTGAGGCAGTGCCTCTGTCCTGTTGCCGCATGGCAGGATCTGGCTCCCGGCCTCACAGCCCACTCCTTCTCCACCAGAGCCCACAGAGCTGGACAGAGAATAAATCCGCTGACTCTGGCCTCTGGGGCCAGCCTGTCTGCCCCCACTAGAGACAGATATTGCTTGCCTTCACTGACTTGCCTAGACTCTTCTTTTTACACAGTTCTTCAACATTTATCACATTCTTCTAGCTCTTCTTTAGAGTTCGGTTCGTCACCTATTTGATTTATGATACCAACCAGTCCCCTCCTGTTTGACTAAACTTAGTGTGTCTTCTTAGGATTGGAATGAATGCCTGATGAGATTGGCAACCTAAATATACCCCTGTTTGTGGTCACTAGAAAATGAAGACACTCTCCAGAATTCATTCTTTCCTTCTTCCTTCACTTCCTTTCTTCTCTGTCCCTCCCCTCTCTCTTCCTCTCTCCATTCTCCTCCTCCTTGGCTCCCGACCTGCCCACCCCCCACCTTTAACATAAGCCCCTACATTACAGCCACCTTCTGGGACTCCAATATCTAGAACCAATATGGTGAGCAGGAAATGAATACCTCTATAATGCTGCTTCTCAACCAAGGGTCTTTTGCCCTTGACAAGACACTTAGCAATGTTTGGAGATGTTTTTGGTCGTGACAACCTGGAGGAAGGGGGGAGGTTGCTACTAAAATCTAAGCAGGTACAGGCCAGGGGTGTCACTACACATCACAGGGTGTGCAGGACAGCCCTGCAACAAAGAGTTATCTGGCCCCAAATGTCAACGGTGCTGAGATTAAGAGAGCCTGCTCTGAAGGCCACCCTTCCAGGCAGCCGTAAGTGCAGGTGGGCCCAGTGATCTGAAGTTGAAGGCTACTGTTGCACCGGTCCAGTGCTCTTAGAAAAGCCACACCTGTTATCTGAAGAACTTTGGGGGATCCATAGAACAATCTCTTCAACAATGCTCTGAGACTTAGTCTTACCAAATAAAAAAACACAGAACACATCTTTGTAAGAAATACTGCTCTATGGGGAGAAGATGTCCTCACTCACAGGTTGCCACAGGCTCCAACAGCATAGCCACAGACACCTGTAAAGGTTTTTCTGTATTTATTCTAATGACAAAGCTTCCCAACCTCCTTTATCACTGAGCATTAGATTACTGTTACATCAGACACACAGAGCTCTTTTATCAGTGGTTACCTGGGTGGACAGTCCTTTTCATAGCACTTCTTCTGTCTCCCGTTGGGCTGTGTTTCTGGGTCACAAAAGGTAGCTTTCACCATCCCGTGGCCCTTCTTCACACAACGGGCAGTCTGGCGGCGGATACCTGGGGGCAGGGCAGAAAGGTTCACACGTGTTAAATCCCGAGCCCACATACCTAGTGTCAGGGAGGCCCCTGGTCATGTCAAGTGGCCACGCTTATCACTGATGGGAAAGTTGTCCATAAGGTGTCTGGCTTTCAAAGTATGGATAGGGAACGGAGTCTCTACTTCACTCATGCTACAGCTCACAGTGGGTGGAAGAGATCTTGCTTGAGAAGGACTACAGATAATATAGGTAGATTAACACACAATCTCATATACAGATTATAATGTAACTGGGGAGACAAGACCAATACATATATTCCAAATAAAAAAAAGTGAGACTCAAATAACGAAAGCAGATATTGTCACCAGGTATTATAACACAATTGCTATTAGCTTAATAAAGGAACAAAGCGGGTAAGGATGTTTATATTATTAGTAAACTCTGAAAGACAGGAATAAAATCCAAAAGAATGTTGTAAAGTTTGAGGGGTCATGTTTCTAAAGTAGAGGCTTTGAGAACAGGGACTAATAATACTGCTGCCTTCGGAGACCAGGTCGGTAATGTGAGTAAGAAAAAGCACACGGGGGGTGGCACATTCTGTAGGCAGACCAAGAACACCTGTAGGCTGGGTTTAGCTTTGGATAAATAATAATAGTGAACACATGTAGCACTTGCCTTGTCTCAGGTGCTGTTCAGAACTGTATGTGTGTGTGTACAAATAAACAAACATATATGTACATATACAAATATATAATACGTAAAATGTATTACTTATTATCTATTTTGGTAGACAGAAACCCAAACCTCACAACAATCCAGTGAGGTCAGCACTACCATTATTTGTATGTGAAAGATGAAACGGAGGCACAGTGAAGTCCCACAGGCTGACAGAGGAAAGGGACCACAGCTTTTGCTAAGACATCATTGCCAAGAGAAGTGAGGGGAGTGGCCAGCATGTCACGGATTGAGAGGTGGAGGGAGAGTGAGAAGGGAGTCATCATGTCTCTTGAGGGGGCTAACACTTCAATGCTGGATGTGAAATACTGGGGTAGAAGACTGAAGACTGGGACCCCACCCACCTTCTCCCCCCCCACCCCCTCCAGGGGACAGAGCCATCAGCGGGCACACAGGTTGGTGCCCTGAACTCTCAGGGCATCCAGGCCTTGAGTGGGCTTACTGGTGTACAGAATTCTTGAATCGGAAAGGCCACGAGTACACCGATAAGCTGGTCACCTCCTCACGTTAGCACATGGAGGGACTTCCCCACAGACACACAGCGGGCAGGACCCAAACTGGAGCCCGTTCGCCTGCCATCTGCCACCTCACGCTGCTTCACACGCCCCGTTCCAGCATAATCTCCCAGGCTGGCTTTCATGCTCAGATGTCAGTGATCACATCTCATCATTTAAAAATGTCAGAGGAGTTGTCATACAGTGAGTGAATCCTTTTAAATGAATCGACAGTATTTTTTTTCTTTTGAAGAAGATAAGTAACCTTTCAGACACTCAGGCTTTCTCAGCTGGCAAGACTGTCTTATTCTTCTTTTGTCCTAGAAATAAAACACTGTCAACAGCTGGAAGCAACATTACAAAAGGAACTTGTGTGGCACAAGGAACGAGTCATTGTTTGGAAAGACACAAACACCTGTAGAGAAGTCTTGGACAATGTGAGTGGATAGAGACTGAGATGGTGGATGCCAGAAACACTGACATGTACCTGCAGTTATAGAGCAGAAAAAAGAAAAGCTTAGATGCTTAGAAGTTTCATTGAAACTTTGGGTGGTTTGGCAAATTCTTAATGTCACAGCCTAGTAGGAAACCGTCAGGTGACCCTCAGAGGTTGGAAACATCCTCCCAAAAGGCTTGTTTCTGTGCAGGAATAGCAAAAATTGTTCCGTGCTCCTGACTCCAGCAGTAGCAGAAGGACACAAAACATAACATAAAATCCCTATTGCCTGGTTGGTCTGGTGGATCAGCGTGGTGATGAACATAGACTGGCCGGGCAGATACTGTGGGGCGTGTAGGGCAAAATTAATAATGATGTGTCAGAGTTCCTCCATTGAAATTAATGGTGTATGTATCACTATATGTCACTTGTCGTTTATCTTATAAATACTATGTGTTTATGCATACGATGAACTATATAAGCCTCGTTCCACAGTATATGCTTAAATCCATCTCAACGTTTCTGTTATTTTTATGGTCCTAAATATTAAAAAAGTCTTCCAGATATTGTTAGAGACCAGTATCTTCACTCGGTTGACCCTACCTGACAATTCCAGTGGACGAAGTCAGATGGATTAGTACCAAGACGAATGCAATTTTAAAAGGGTCAAAGAAGTATCTGATTCTGATTTTCCAAAGAAGCGAATTGTCATCTAGATATCAGCCTATAGTCACGCATCAGGGTCAGAGTGGAATGTGTGTCCCTATTTGTAATACTCATGCTTTATCAAGGATATGTGGACATATCTTAAATGTACATGGTTATTTTGAGCTTTAGTGCCATTAAGGAAAGGTGTTCATTATGGCACTACAAAAATGTTTATAACTGACTGCAGAATAGTGTAATGTAGAAATAATTGTATAGTCACACAGTGGGACGGTATGCAGACCTTCAGGTGAATGTACAAAGAGCTACTTTCATTAGTGTGGACTTATCTCAAAAGCATAATACTGAGTAAAACAAGATAGAGAACTATACACAGAGTATGACACTGTTTATAAGCTTAAATGCCCGAGAAACAATGTTTTTCAATGTGGATGAGTATTCACATGTATAATAAGAGTATTTAACAACATGCATGATAATAACAACTGGTTACATGACCCTGGTTAACTCTGGGGAAAAAGGAAAGGGAGAGGAGTCAGGGAGTGCTTATCATGTGCATTTGTGCAATTTCTTTTCTTTAAAAAATGAAGATTGAAATAAGCATGAGTAATGGTAAAATCTGAGAAAACTGAGTGTCTGGCATGCAAGAGTTTGCTGTTACATTCTCCATTTTGCTAGGAGATTTATAATGCTTCCCAGTGAAAAAGTGTAAAGCTAAAATAATACAATAATAATAAAAACAAAACAAAACAAAACAAAACAAATAAAATAAAATAAAATGATTGCTACTACCCGTTTGCAAACTTTTTTACTATGGGAATCAATTTGGTAATAAGTTTCTTAACATTGCCATAATATTTATGCTCTTTTTTTTTTTAATATTTATTTATTTATTTTTGAGAGAGAGAGAGAGAGAGAGAGAGAGAGACAGAGTGTGAGTCAGGAAGGGGCAGAGAGAGAGGGAGACACAGAATCCAAAGCAGGCTCCAGGCTCTGAGCTGTCAGCACAGAGCCCGACATGGGGCTCGAACTCACGAACCATGAGATCATGACCTGAGGCGAAGTTGGATGCTCGACCAAGTGAGCCACCCAGAAGCCCCAATATTTATGCTCTATGAGCCCAGAAATTCCATCTACAAATTAACACTAACAAAATCATCAGAATATGATGATCAATAAGGAATTGGCTAAAAGACATTTTGCTTTGTCTTGCCAGTGAAACATAATGTATCCAAAAAATGACAGCTACGAAGACTAAGACCTGGAAAGGTACCCATGTTAATGGCATTAAGTGAAAGCATGTGTATACGTACATAAACACATCCATATGCACACAACTATATACATCTATAACTAGAAAAAAGCATATTGAAAGGCAAAAAAGGGGTGCCTGGGTGGCTCAGTCACTTGGGTGTCCAACTTTGGCTCAGGTCATGCATGATCCTGTGGTTTGTGAGTTCAAGCCCCACCTCGGGCTCTGTGCTGACAGCTCAGAGCCTGGAGCCTGCTTCGGAGTCTGTGTCTCCCCCTCCTCCATCCCTCCCCTGCTCATGTTCTGTCTCTTTCTGTCTGTCAATAATAAATAAACGTTAAGAAAACTTAAAAAAAAAAAAAAAGAAAGGCAAAAAAGAAAAGTAAAAAATGCATTGTGTCAGGGTGGTGACTTTTTCTATTTCTAATTTTTCAATAATATTTTTCACCTACTTTTATAGTATAGAACGTTTTAGCTCAAAGCAACTAAAAATACACAGTTGACTGATTCAGTGTTTCAGGCGGTCTTCCATCTTTATATTTAGCAATGTGTGTCCTACGGGAATATTAGCATGTCACCCTCTGTGTCTGACAGCATGAGAGTAGATATGTTGCCTTTCTTCTCTGCCAGAATAAGAGCTCACTGTTGCTCAAATAGGCAGCGTGACTGAGATTCAGGTGAGCACATGGACACTGGCAGCTTCCTCATAGTTCCTGTTAAGGTTTAATAACCAGATGGGGCGCCTGGGTGGCGCAGTCGGTTAAGCGTCCGACTTCAGCCAGGTCACGATCTCGCGGTCCGTGAGTTCGAGCCCTGTGTCAGGCTCTGGGCTGATGGCTCAGAGCCTGGAGCCTGTTTCCGATTCTGTGTCTCCCTCTCTCTCTGCCCCTCCCCCGTTCATGCTCTGCCTCTCTCTGTCCCAAAAATAAATAAATGTTGAAAAAAAAAAATTAATAACCAGAATGACATTTGCCCAAGCAGGCCGAGGTGTTGCTGAAGGATCAGACTGTATCAGAACCAAGTGCCTGATGCCCATTTGGTAAGGGAATCTCATTTCCTAGCCAAGAGGATGCATCTCATCTTTACGAACACAGCACAAATCAGTCATTTATCTTGTATTCCTATGCTCTGAAATATTGCATGTGTAATAATGCAAAGAATTCGGGGCGCCTGGGTGGCGCAGTCGGTTAAGCGTCCGACTTCAGCCAGATCACGATCTCGCGGTCCGTGAGTTCGAGCCCCGCGTCAGGCTCTGGGCTGACGGCTCAGAGCCTGGAGCCTGTTTCTGATTCTGTGTCTCCCTCTCTCTCTGCCCCTCCCCCGTTCATGCTCTGTCTCTCTCTGTCCCAAAAATAAATAAACGTTGAAAAAAAAATTTTTTTTTAAATAAATAAATAAATAATAAAAAAAAAATAAAAAAAAAATAATGCAAAGAATTCATCCCATGTTGAAACAGAAAAGAGGGGCGGGTGGGTGCTCTCCTGTTTTGTGGAGGGGCCCCTGCCCAGCCTGGACTGGCTGAGTTTTCACTCCTTGGTGTCCAGGGACAAAGGATTTCAGCTTAAAGCTTAAACCTGTACTTCACCTAAAGAAGAGAAAAATGGGGATGAGAACTCGAAAAAGTATTTGTATCTATAGTCCCCATGACCTCATTTTCCTCACAACTGCTCCTCAAGGAAATATTTTTCACCAACTTATTTTTTGTTTATGTTGCTTTTGCTTCTCGGCAAGCCCAGCCCCCTGGGCAGTGGGGCAGGACATCTGGAAATGCCAGGGGTAGCACTGGGGATAGCAGTATGACACCAACCCCACTTACGGCTGCTGCCACAAATCACAGCTTTGACCTAATGGATTTCCAGAGGACTAGGATTTTCAAAACAGCACACATTTTGAAATGAACACGATCCCTACGATTTCTAAAAGTTAACCCTTGGTTTCTGTACTGAAGGAGGGGAAGAGAGAAGTTGGAAATACAAGAATCGTCGATTAGGTTGACAATGCGTGACTCAGTGTCCATTGCTGGACCCCTTTCCAGGACTGCTTCCTGGGGCAGGGGGCACAGGTACAGGGAGGAGCGAGTGAAGGAATGGTGACGAGACAGAGTATATAAGAGAGAGGCCCACAGAGTAGGTGACTGTGTTCTTCTGGCCATTCACTCCTTCACTTCCATTCTCTTGGCTACCTCGCTGAATTTGGCACTTCCCCTTATTGCTGCCCTAGTTTTAAAGGCAGTAGTTACAAGCTAAAGGCAGGAAGTTCCAGAACAGACTTGGACATGATCCAAAAAAGGGAGGCAGAGGCCTCATATGGGACTACTATTAAAGCCCCCCAAATGAGTGAAGAGCCCCAAGTACCTGACATACCGTTCCCCGCCCCCTCGCCCCAGACCTTAGAGAAGTTCACCCAGCCTTCAGCCAAGAGAGTGGATGCCCTACAAATGTCCGTGCACTTGTTTACAGTTTCCAGCTTGTACTCAGAGGACTAAGGCCAACCGATGAAATGAAAGGTGAGCAGAAATGATCTGTGTCACCACCAGGCCGTGGCCCTTAACAAGAGCCAGTCTGCCTCTTCCATTTCTGTTTGCTGTGGGGCATGCTGGAAGCCACACATGTCAGATGTCTTAGTTGCAAGATGAAGCTGGGCCACCCAATCTGCATCAGACTTACAATGGGTTAGAAATAAACCTTCTCTGTGTTGAAGTCCTGAGATTTTGATTTCTTATGGTAGCAGAACTTATTCCATCCTGATACACTTGACAGCAAGGAATCTCTCCAATGCTCAATTTTATGAGAGGAAACTACTCTCCTAGTAGATATGAAAACGTGGTAAATTGGAGACAGAAAAAAGAACACTAGGTTGGAATCAGGAGAGCCTATTATGGTCTGGATTTGCCCATCATTTACAGTATGCTTCTGAGCCGGGTGTTCGACTTTTGTTGCTGTTGTTGTTGTTTAAATGTTCATTTATTTATTTTGAGAGAGAGAGAGTACAGTGGGGGCGGGGCAGAGAGAGAGGGAGAGAGAGAATCCCAAGCAGGCTCCATGCTCAGTGTGGTGCCCGATTTGGGGCTTGATCTCATAAGTCATGAGATCATGACCTGAGCCAAAATCAAGACTAGAACCCTTAACTGACTGAGCCACCCAGGTGCCCCGCAGGGTGTTTGACTTTTGTGAACTTCAGGTCCTCAACCAGGCTTTTAAGCCTTTCTGTTTTGCTTTTTAAAACACATGTAATACTGGGGCACCCAACTCTTGATTTCGGCTCAGGTCATGATCTCACGGTTCGTGGGATGGAGCCCCGCATCGGGCTCTGAGCTAACAGTGTGGAGCCTGCTTGGGATTCTCTCCCTCTCCCTCTCTCTCTGACCCTCTCCAGCTTGTGCACGCACTCATTCTCTCTCTCAAATATCAATAAATAAACATTAAAAAAGCAAAACACATGTAATACTGTATTGTATGCCTGAAAGTTGCCAAAAGAGCAGATATTAAATGTTCTCACCACATACACAAAAAGGTAACTTTGTGGAGTGATGGATATGTTGACTGACCTTATTGTGGTAAACGTTTCACAATATGTACGTGTATCAAATCATCCGGTACAATTTAAACTTACACAATGTTATGATGTGTCACTTTTATCTCAATAATTCTGAAAACACAACAAAATAAGACATGTAACCTTTTTTTCAAACAAACTCTTTCATGAACAACAGTATATAAAGCTGATTCAAGAAAAACTGCCTCTCTCTTTAGACCATGACCAGCATATTCACTCTCAGAGAGGCCCCGGGCCATGTTTGTGGAACCCTGCAGACCTAGAGGCACAGAGTATGAACCACTGGCTCAGACTGCCTCTGTGGCCCAATGTGAAGCTGACACGGATGCAGAGACACAGCAGCTGTCTCTCACCTGTCCCACATGTTACGCTGCACTCTGTCCAGTGGCCATACTGCCAGAAGTACACCAGTTTTTCCACGTCATTGTCAAGGCCATCTTTCCGGATTGTATACTCATATTTGATGCCAGGGTTAGTCACCTGGAACAGAAGCTAAAAGGCAATAGAAGGTTGACATCACTGTCGTGACTTTATATTACAAAACACAGTGCTGTAGTAACAAACACTACAGAATGTCCATCATCTTAAAGTAATTATGAAGACATGCATTGGAGCAAACGCCAATAAATGAATATATCTCCACCTCTACTTCCACCTACACATCTATCTATATCTATATCTATATGTATATCTACCTACATCTATACCTTTATCTGTCTCTATCTAATCTCCGTTTGATTATTTCTTGGCTGAATTCCCATGGAGATTTAATCTTATGGAAATTTCTCTGAGGGAATGGGGATAGTGTCTTTTCCAACAATAGACTGGTAGGTCACCTTGCACCCTTGTGTACTTAATAACCTTGTGATTACAGGTAAGTTACTTAATATCTTTGTGCCTTAGTTTCCCCTATTTACAAAGTGAGGATAATAATAGCATGACTAATAGGGATGTTGTGAGAGTCGAATAAGTAAATAAATGTAACATAACTGGATATGAGTAGAATACAGGGCGTTGGGTAAGCTCAGTCAGGAGAGCATGCAACTCTTGATCTCAGGTTGTAAGTTCAAGACCCACGTTGGGTGTACAGATTAAAAATAAAATCTTAAAAAAAAAAGATATGAATAGAATAGTGCCTCATATGTAGTTAGCATTCAATAAACATTAATTTTTATTATTGTTGTTGCTGTTGCCTTATGATGCTATTCCCTAGCTCTCAGGTGAGTTAATTCCTTTAAAGCATATAGTTCTGCAATAAAAATGGTCATGGGCTTTAGGCAAGGCATACCATTCTTGGGACCCCCCCTCACTTCCCTCTCCTGCAGGTACTCTACTTACCACATATTTAAAATTGGTGGATTGGTTGCTCCATGGGATTGGGGTTCCCATATGTAAATCCTTTGCCATGTAGGCAGGTAAGATTTCAGGTCTCAAGACATTTGTGAATCATAGCTGTCAAGCCTTGACCTCCAGCTTTTATGAGTGCTCTGATCTCTGGCTCTGCAATTACCTCCTAACTTCTGAATATGGTTATATCTGACTTTCTCTTGGGCCATCCAAGAGATGTAATCCCCAACTTGCCTTGTCTCTACTGATATAATCTACTCCTTTTCTATAGTTCCTCGCCAACATGAAAGACAATTTACTTATTCAACTCTCACAACACCCGCTTGTGCCTTCAAGGAGACATACTACATTCTAACTCCATTCTCCCCCAAGAGTTTCACAAAGTCAAACATCTTGTCTGAGGACAAGCACATGATAACATATGAAAAAAACCATGTCAGTCCATCACCATTGCTGGAAAGCTACTTGGAAACTCATGCCACACTGACATAGATTGACAGCATCTTTTTTTATACCTGAGAAACACCTGCAAATAAACAGCTTAGGTCAACCATAGTGGAAACTGAACTCAAAACTCCCGTTAGAGGATTTTAGGGACCCCATCATTTCATTATGGGGACTTCAGAAATTTCTAGGCAATAAAGGATTAACAGCACAAGTAACATCTTGCTTCCCTCCCTGTTCCTTGCTAAAAATTTTAAGTATTTTTAATTAACGTCCCCTAGCAAATACCTTGGAAAAGAACATCATAAATGTCCTAAATAATGTACATATCATCAGCTGCCTTCCCCTCTGCATTACCTGGATCCACACTGACTCATTGGTAGGACCTGTGGCCATCAGTTTCTCCAGGTCTCCTTTCCTGTCATATTGGAAGATGGTCCCTGCCAGCTTGTAGTTTCCATTCCACTGGATAATAAATCCTCCATTGAGGTAATATTTTTTGGGGTCTTCACTCCTGATGGCCAAAAAGTTTCCAGCTCCTTCAACCTCCATTACCCTTATGTCCCTTGCTCCTTTTGGAATCAGTCCAATGTCAACATAACCTAAGGAGAGAAGATACAATAACGGAAAAGGCACAGTAGCTTAGCTGAACACAATCTGTTTCCAATCCATCATTCATCTCCATGACTTAGTGCCCTTGCCTTCCTTTTGGGTGGTCATTGGGATTAGTAGATACAGTAGTCATGGGGAATTTTAAAGAGCTTGGCCAGGAGTAGAATTTCCAGGGGCTCTATGACTCAGTATATACACAGTTTTATGAGAAGAGGTGAAATAAATGCAGATTGGACTATGAAGCATTTGTGGTTGACCCAGCATTGACATTTCTGTAATTTTAAGTTGACAGTTCAAATATTTACAGCCCCTAACTAGCTTCCCATCAGCATTTCTGCTCCCCCATTTGTTGCTGCTATCAGATTAATCTTTTTCAACATTACATTGGATACATCCTTCTGCTTATTCATCCTCATTGCCTCCAAGTTAAAGACAGACTCTTAGAAGTAATCTAATCATAGCTTAAATTCATTAATAGAATCCCAGGAGAAATCATGAATTGATTTGCCACCTGGTGCTCTTGAATACAACTTGTGATGAGAAACTCAGCTCTGAGTACAGCTTTTTATATTGCTGGACAATTCTATTCATTATAAAGGGGTTTTTTTCTTATTTTTTTTTTGTTATGATGAAATATGAATTTATGTTCTACTCTCATGTGCTCTACTCCGACCTGAAAGCGCACAGAAGGCATTCATTTAAAGATGATGATCAATTCTAGCTACAGTCTTATTCTTGTATACTGGTAGTCATGGCAGGGGACATACTGGGGAGAAAAGGAATTAACACATAATGGTTTCCCCTCTTTGGCAGACTCCATGCTAAGCACTTGATGAATTTATCCTGTTTGGGTTTCTTAAGAACCATCAGTGGGATAGAACGGAAAGAACATGAACTTTGGGGATGGCATGCAAACGTGTGGGGGCAGGGGAGTCAGGACACTTGAGTCCTAGCTTCTGCATCACCACGAATGTGTTTTATGACTTTCATGCACTTATTTAACTTCCTTGAATGTCATCTGCACAATAAAGGGGATTGAATAGATGATGTCTGACATTGCTGGCGGCTATGATATTCATTTTTCTCTTTTCTAAGCAAAACATTCTTGTTCCTTTAACCTTTCTTTCCATGCAAAATTTGGTCTTAAGACCCTGATCATCCTGGCCATTTTCCACTGGACATGCACTAGGTTTTTTGATCCCAAGGAAACCTGCATCTCTGTCACCTGAAAGTACCTTGACGGCTCCCCCTCCATCAATGCTGAAGTAGCAGGGGGTCTTGGGAGCTAAAATCCTAGGAAGCCAGCAGGAACAATTTGCTTAGAAGCTCAGGCCACAGCCTCAGCCCCATTTTTCAAACTGACAGCTACCATCCAGCAAGACCAAAATGCAAGTCTTGTAGCACCTTATTAAATTCCGTTTGACCCTCACAATACTTGCCTGAAACAGCTGATTAAAACTGCAAATTTACAAGTAGCTCTAGGAACATATTTATCACATGTAAGTGAGGCTATTGCAATTTTCTGAAATGCCTTTGGAGTGTTGCATCCCACAGCCACTTTCTGACTTGGGATATTGCCTGCCTTCTCAGAGCAGAACTCATGCAGAAAGCTCAACTGGCATTACATGCAGGACAATCACCTTATCTCCTTTGTTTACAACAAACAGCAAAATAATCCCTCCCCCCCCCCCCCCCCCCCCCAAAAAAAAACAATGGGAACTAGATGAAAAAAAAATCCTGGAGTTTGCTTCTTTATCTTCCACTTAAGAAAAAAAATCCAAATTTAGAAATATTTGTCATCCAGATTCTGCAAACTTCAAAGGGGAGGTACATCAAATTTAAAATAAAAGCTCCCAGTGAATCTAAGTGCTGCTTTTAAACAGTCTACAGGCAGTTCACAGAAGATGTAAACTGAGATCGATTTAGCCATGAGCAAAAGTAATGCACATTTCTACCACGTATTTTGCAAAAGAATATCTGGGGGAAGGCCAAAGGATAAAATTATGGTAACTTGGAGTTAGAAAGAACCACAATATCTCTACCAGACTCCTTTGCACATGACAAAAAAGCCCATACTTGAGAAGAATATAAAATGAAAAGTAAAATGTTCAATTTCCCTTCACCCCCAGTCCTATGTCTCAAGGACGATTACAGTGAATAAGTTTCCTGGATTCTCTTCCAAAATCTTTCTTTGCATGTACAAGCACATATACACATAATTTTTTAAACAAGTGGGATCATACTGTGTGAACTATTCCAACTATTGCTTTTTAAATTTAATATACTTTACATATCTTTCCATATTTTTTGAGCATTTCAACAACTGCAAAAATGACATAAACCCATTTGTTTAATCAATCTGCTACTTATGGACATTTAAATGGAAATGAATGGCTATAAACCTTTCTGTTTATCAAATGAGAAACCCGGGTTCCCACACAAAGAAGAAATCTATCCACATCACACACCTAGGTAGAAAGTACATACACCTATACCCAGGGTTTGCTAACCAATTCTTAATATATTGTTTTTAATAAGAAAATGTGGTTGGTAGAAAGAGAATATTCCTGAGTATCTTATCCTCAAGGGTCTTCTTTACAGAAATAAGAATCATATTAAAAAGTAAGGGTGGAAAGTTATTGAGACATTTTCTCTGCATCAAAGGAAAGCTTTCAGGGTTGATAAGACTTTTTCCAAAGTACTAAGAATGGTGAGTACATACATTCAGAAAGTCACTTTCTCCCACTCTCCCTAGTAAACATCAGTCATTTGCACCAGTATTGGGGTAATACCGAGAAAATGGGGAAAGTAGGAAAATGTAATCTTGACCTCAGAGAAGGAGTCTCTGGGCCCATGGAGATCACCTGGAGAAGCCAGCCTATCACTGAGTCCTGAGTCCCTTGAGCTGAAAGAATACTTGGGGCCTTTGAGGATGGGGCAGAAGACCGGCCCCGCTTCTGAAACCGTCTTTAGGAGAGATAACAATAGATTATTGGTGCTAAAGTTCACCTTATCCAACTGTTCTTTGCAATTCACAAAACAGAATTTACCCAGTAGCATATTTTTAATAAAAATGTGCTCATAATGAGGTCAGACTATTAACCCCTTGACAATTTATCTACAACTACCAGCTCATCTTTTTTTTTTTTTCTTAAGATTTATGCTGTCAGTTTGCAGCAAGCAAGACAATCCTCAGTGCAGGCCCAAATCTCCTGGTGTAATGTAAGGAGGCTCTGGGAAAGGCCAGTCCATCTCCTGAGGCCTGCCTTGACAGAAATGACACATCAGGGTCAGGTACAGGTATCAACCTGCACTTGACCTGCTCCCACATGAGAAGGAGGAAGAACTACCCATAAATGTGCCCGGAAGATCTTCTGAAAATCCCAACTGCCTTGGTCCAGGTTGAGAGTTTTAGCTTCAATTATTTCAAAAAGAGGGTTATAAGGGCACCAGGACCTTGGAAAACACCACGAGCAACCACAACCCTCTTGCGAGAAGCCAGGGGAAAGGAAACATAGAAGAGAGACCAGATATTGACGGGGGCTTCCTGACCCTAAATGCTTCTGGGAAAGGATGGCAGCCCTGAGCCCTCTTGATACAAAAACTGTCAAGTAGAGGGTCCCTTCACTCTCCTTCCCTTCTCATTCCTTCCAGCCTGGGATCTCCTGGAAAACATGATCTAGGATAGTCTCCAAGTAAGGTGATATTCTGGTTTCAAGAAAGCCACATCCCCTCTTTTTATTATGCCCTACCTTCTGCCTCAGGTTTCTAAGAAAATGTTCTCATGCTGTCCATGTGGACCCATCTTCTAGCACTGGGCTACCTACCCTGTCCCAGGCAATTATGTATGTTTTGGCAAACCAGTGACCCCTTCATGTCATTCGCCCACCTAAAATCATAGAATGGACCTTATTCTCTCTTAAGCCAACAGCAAACAAACTGAACCTTGCAGAATTGGCATAGGAACAGCTTTGAGTGATGAAGCCATGCCATTTGTTCCTAAAATTGCCTCTTCCTTCTCACTGCCCAGACTTGAATTGAACTTGCACACATACTGCTGTCACAGCTCCCTAACCTGTGTTGTGAGGTATTGTTGATGGGCTCCATTCATTCATGCACTTCCTCAGCGACAGAAACTAAGTGGTCCCAAGAAAAAGTCCAGAATATGCCTCACTATGGGATTAAGACAGCAATCTTAACATAACTTGAAACTGGTGTCAATTCTTCACTCTAGGTGAATTTAATACAACCAAAAAGATCAGTGGCAGACACGGGAGCTACCGCTGGAAGAACTGAGCACATAAACACACAGGATCGGGAAGTGGATGGGTATCATGTGGTCAGGTTCAGGAATAATTCCAGGTCCAGGCAGTTGCTCTGCATACTCCATTCCAGGAATTTCCTAAAGGTGTGGACACTGGCAGCAAGTGTTTCTAGGAGAAACTTTCTGTGCCTTTCCTCTGCTTTCTAGACCGCAGATTTTTTTTCAACATGCTAAATTGTGAAAATGAAATTGTGATGAATCTCAGAGGAAACCTAATTAATTTAAATATTATGCCAAGAGAGTTACAATAACTCTAGTATGTGCATCAAACCCACTAAACAGATATGCAAATATATTTGGTATATATTTAACAATATTTAAATAATATTTAATAAGGTGAATTTTGTATGGAAACTATTCTAGGTCAATAAAAAGATTGTAAGGTATTTTTTTTAATTTACAGGGGTTTGCTTTGTTTGTTTTTGAGAGACAGAGAGAGAGAGAGAGTGAACAAGTGTGCATGCGTGCTGGGGAGGAACAGAGAGAGAGGGAGAGAGAATCTTAATCAGGCTCCACACTGAGCACAGAGCCCAATGCTGGGCTTGATATCATGACCGTGAGATCATGACCTGAGCTGAAATCAAGAGTCAAGTGTTTAACCAACGGAGCCACCCAAGTGCCCCATAAAAATATCTTAAAATTGAAGTCTGAAAACATTCCGGTTGT